TATCTGTTCAATCGAACCGGGGGTCGGATATGAACTGTGGGGGGTACAGGGCAAGAATCGCATTCAAATTTTAGAATAACAAAATGGTCGTATGGCATTTTAATGGCTTGAATGTATGTTATGTGCAAATGCAAATCGTTAGTCGTAAAGGCGAGGGAGGGGTTAAGAGGTGCACGTTTAATCCAGTGTTAACATTATTTTAGTTTTTGATCAAAGGCGTTATCCCATCACGGGACACCAACATGCTGCGTATATAACAGTTACAGAAGCAACTAAAGCAGCGACTTCTGCTTCTGCTCCAATTGCTGCCCGGGTTTGTAGCCGGCTCTGCTCTCGTGGGACCCTGTGATTCTAATGCTTCTATGAGATTATAATACCTTACTCCGTTTACATGGTTATATATTTAAACTCTACTTATATTCGTTTAATGTTTAGTATTATCGTTAATAGTGTTACAGTTTACATGTTATAGAGTATAGTTTATCCATGGTATGTTTCGGGATTAGGGACTGGTACGTTTAGAAACGATTAGCAACGGGGACCTATCCCCTCAAGGAACATGATAATGGCGGATGCTGCCGATAAAGGGCAGACTTGTGTGACGGAGATCCTCCACCTGAAACTCGCTTAAAACACGTTTTGCAATGAACATGTAAAATAAAAAATGGACAAACATATGTTAAAAATACGTTTTTATTCATCTGCAATCATTTTACGTTAAAACTCGAACCGAATGTTATGTCCTATGTTCAAACAGTTACAGTACAATGCAAACCATATCCGTTCCAGGAATACCAAAGCGTTAAAGTTTCATTCCCCATGATGTCCTTATTAGTTCACCACGTTTGTTCACTGTGCGTCTTGTTGAAGTCAAGGCCAAATATCAACGAACGCGTCATCAATGTACATCCTAAAGTCGATTATTACCAACCAAAAAAAGCTTTATACTTGAAAATAAACCCGTTTAAAATGTTGAGTAAAGATCTAACTCGAGATGCATTCCAACTTTAGCTAAACAGAAAGACTTAAACACTACAATATTAACGGGAATTGAACCATCTCACAACCACTGCTCATCACACCACTTCTCAAGTAATCTGATAACATCACAAATCAACACCTGCACGTCAAGAAACTCTCAAACGAACTGTAAAACTAAAGGTTCAGAATTACACACAAAAGTACTCAAGGCGGCTTAATAGGTATAACCGCATGCAACATTATATTTCAGTCACCACTAGCTCTCGGATTGATCCTCGAGCCACTCCATTACATCCAGCCATTGTGGTGCCACAACGACGGGGCCGCTCTGCCGAACCAGGGAGCCGCCCGGCTTCCCCCACCGCACTGCCCCCCATCACCCGCCCCACATAAGCACACACCCGCACGCACCCCCCCCCCCATAGAGCTGGAAGGGAAGGTCACCTGATCGACCGGTTTTTATCCGAGAGACCCTTATCGGGATTAATTCTCACGGTTTCCGGCGATCAGGGAATTGGATGACCTCCCCGTGCTACGTGGCACCGCGGCGCTGCGGCCGGCCTTAATATGGTAGGTCGTGGCGTGGGGCATTCGGCCACCGCGGTTGAGGCGCATTTCCCCCCACACACACCCACGGTCGACGGGGCGAGCAGGGGAGGCACGGGACAGCATGAATAGCGGGGTCACAGGGGCTGTTGCGCATAGTCATGGAGGGTTGGGATAATTGCGCTTGAGCGCGCAAGCCCCATTGGTAGGAAGGGTAAGGGAGTAATTAGGATTTACGCCTTGCACGCAGCACACTGATTAGCATATCAACAGCGCCTGGGGACTGCGGTGCGCGGGCTTGGGGTGCACGAGCCCATTGTTCAGCGCAGCATCCCCTTTGGGAGGTAGGGAGGATAAATAGAGGAGCGCAGAGGGGAAATCGCTCTCTTACTCCAGCGCCAGGCGACCAGACGCAGCTCGAGCCAGCGACCCGGACGTCCGTGCGACGCACCGAGGCACGCGGTTAACAGAAGGATCAGCGGACCGCCGTGGACACTTAACAGTGAGTAAGAAGGGGAATTAGAATCATAGCCGATAAATAGGGAATAGGTACAGGTTTAGTGGAATAGGCCAGCCTCGTCGACTCACTGATTCAACATCAATTCGCAGGTGGCATATAATAAATCATTAATAGCGAAGCGTGGTCTCGCGTGATCTTGTCGTGCAGTGAGCGTGTGGGTGCGCTGTGTGCACAGTGGTTCGCCACGGAGTGAGCGCTGCGCGGAGCTGAGCGCGCGGGTTGCGTGTGGGAACGCGTGTGGTACTGTGTGTGCGTAAGCTCGCGGCGTGCGTAATCGGCGTACCCCAGGTGCGCGATTGTAACGTGAGCGGCCAGCGCGGCGCAGAGAAGCGCAAGAGTGAGTGCCGTACAGAGCTGTGTGTGTGGGTGTGCGCGTACGTAATTAACCATGCCTGCTACGCGGACCCGCGGTGGAGTGGAATCCTCGGGCGACGGCTCCCACCCCATGGGTGAGGAACTTAGCAGCGGTTCGCTTAGCAGCGGGGGGGCGATTGATGATGCTAGCCCGGCCGTTAGCATTATCGAGGAGGGATCTCGGGGGCTAGCGACCCCCACAAATTGGTGTCGGAAGCGGTACGGACCCCCGCGTTACCTCACGCTAAATAAGACTAATATTTACCGGCCGGGGGGCCCCTTCGTGGAAGGCATTCGCCCGCAATCTCTTAGGGGCCAAGGAAATTAATGGATGGACGGACGCGCAGGCAGTACGTCAACTTAATATGAATCTTGATGGGCGGGCAGCCGATTTTGTAGAAGCGTTACCCGCGAGCGCACAGACCAGCTAGAGGAGCTGATGCGCCGACTCGATCAGCGGTTTGGCACGCGTGACGAGGAGGAAGCAAAATCGGCCTTAGAGGCGCGCCGGCGCCAACCTGGCGAAGATCTACGTGATTACGCGAGGATGTGCGCGAGTTAACAAAGATCGCACGCCCGGGGTACGCAACTGATGTTATTGAGGAACTGGCCGCCGAGAAAATCCAGCGGTACCTGTCTCGCACGGCGTGGTGGCAGCCAGACATGAGCTGCCCACGTCTTCCCTTTAACGCCCTTGTCGAGCGCTCACGTAAGTGTGAAAGAATTCACAGCGAACGCGCGCAGCTCCGGGGGCTGGGACGAGAG